TATATACATATATATACATATCACATAAAAATATAGATATTTTATTTATTTGGATTTTTGTGTTTCATATACACACAGACCCCTGTATAAAAAAAAATTATATAAAAAATTATAAAATTTATAAATGTATAAAATTATATATATATATTTAATAGATTGTTATTATACTGTATTTATATAGCACTAAAAGGTTTGCTCAGCGCTGTACATCATAGTGGGGGACAGAACATGAGACAATATAGTAACAAAACACGAGGGGGTCAAGGGCCATGCTCTTTTGAGCTTACGATCTAGGAATATTATATTTTATATATATTTTGTTATTCTAGTTATGTGAATGATATCAATATTAATACAGTTGTGTGATGGTGATTCTTGCAATGGTGACGCATTATTACATTATAATAGTAACATAATTAATATAGTGCAGTGTGTGTGTGTATATATATATGTGTGTGTGTGTGTATGTGTGTGTGTGTGTAATATATATATATTGTGTGTGTGTGTGTATATATATATATGTGTGTGTGTGTGTGTAATATATTATATGTGTGTGTGTGTATATATATATCAAGTTGTGTGTGAATGATATATAATATTAATACAGTTGTGTGTGTGTGTGTGTATATGTGTGTGTGTATTGTTGCAATGTGTGACGTGTGTGTATATATTATATATATATATATATATATATGTGTATATGGTGTGTAGTAACATATATATATATAATATAGTGTGGTGTGTATATATATATGTGTGTGTGTGTGTGTGTGTGTGTATGTGTGTGTGTGTGTGTGTGTATGTGTGTGTGTGTGTATGTATGTGTGTGTGTGTGTATATATATATATATGTGTGTGTGTGTGTGTGTATGTATGTGTGTGTGTGTGTGTGTGTGTGTATATATATATATATATATATATATATATATATGTGTGTGTGTATATATATATATGTATGTGTGTGTGTGTGTATATATGTGTGTGTGTGTGTGTATATATGTGTGTGTGTGTATTTATTTTTTTTATTATTTAGGTGTGTGTATATATTTGTATGTAATTGTGTGACAGTGGCAATTCTTGCAATGGTGGTGAATTATTACATCACAATAATATTAACATAATGGCCTGTGAGTGTCTAAAATATATATATATATGATTACATAGTGCCCACAGTTTGCACAGGGCTTTAAAAACATGAGGGCAGACAGTACAATTCAGTGCAGGAGGAATCGGAGGTCGCACGCTCGCTCTTCTCTAATTTATAAACGTGTGGCGATTCTTGCAGTGGTGACGAACTGCTACCATTTGGATCGCTGGGGTGTGGCACACACTTGGTACACACAATGAGAATATCGGATGAGTGATCATCCGTGGGGTTTTTTTTGTTTTTTTTTTTTTCATGCTAGTCCCATATCAAAAACGTAGAGGATACTAAAGTCACGAAAATTCTTGTCCGACAGAATAAAACTTTGGAAGTAATGTATTGCATTGTAATGTATTCTTTCCTTTCTGAGCGTGCTTACTCAAATTTTTTTTTTTTTTTTTTATGGACGAATACTGTAAAAATAAATAATAATAATAATAATAATAAACAAAAATCGTTCATTCTGTTATCGGACGAGAAAAATGTTCGTGCTTGTCCTTTCTATATTCGTGCATGAACTGTCGAAAGCTCCAATTGAAAAGATCCTGTTGAATTATCCATTTTCCTATGATCGGATTTTACATTTATGCCAGGTGCACACAGCCCAAAAATGGCCAGTTTGTCAGGAACTGGCTGACTTTCGGCCCGCGTGTACAGCTCCCTATCCTGGTGAACGGACATATCCTGGAAACCAGCATCTGATCAGCGTTGGCAGCCAATGGCTGGCAGTGCTGATCAGTGTGTCCTGGTAGGGGGGGTACAGTCCCCCTGTCAGAACACAATATAACAGAGCAGGGGAGATTGCTGTACTAACATTGCTTGTGTTAGTACAGTGATCTGTCAGGTGTTTTTTTTTTTTTTTGTGAAGCCTTGTGGGTTGAAAGAAAAAAAAAAATATATCAATTTAGAAAGGATTTGATAAGACTGAATTGATTGGTTGGGGCAGAAAATTGAAAATTTCTGATCATAATTATTTATTTCAGGTACTTGTATAGCGCCATCAATTTACGCAGTGCTTTACATATATATTGTACATTCACATCAGTCCCTAACCCTCAAGGGGTGTACAATCTAAGGTCCCTAACTCACATTCATACATACACATACTAGGGACAATTTAGACAGGAGTCAATTAACCTACCAGCATGTCTTTGGAGTGTGGGAGGAAACCGGAGTACTTGGAGGAAACCCACGCACGCACTGAGAGAACATGCAAACTCCAGGCAGCTGGTGCTGTGGTTGGGATTTGAACCAGCGACCCGAGTACTGCCAGGCAGACATGCTAACCACTTAGCTACTGTGACGCCCCATAATATAATTCAAATAGCAATCTAAATCTGCTGCCCTATGTGTGGCATATTGGCTGAACGGGTTGTCAACTATAGACCGAATGGAAAAAGAAATCAATATTTATCATAGCATTTGAGACCAGTATGCTGCACTAGTAATCTATCTGTATGCAGAGCAGTGTAAATCCTCACTAGGTCGATCTATTCCTCATATCAACCATGTGACCAAACTCAGCAGGATCGCTAAGTGACTGTGTCTGTGGAGTTGCTCTCTCGTTGGCCAGACCACAGAGGTGTCACTCCTTCGCTAATGAGTATGAGTCTGCAGTGTTCCGGGCCAGCAAGAGAGCCACTCCATTGGAGTAAATCGCTGCCTCTCCTTGGTGGTTTTGCCGCTGCCATTGTCTGTATCGTGACTGACCATTTGGAAACTCGGGCATTGCCGGAGGGCCCGGGGTCAGTAGGGGGCCCCATGAGATGCCCCTGGTACCTTTTTCATAGGCTTTTTTGAGTTTAGGCAAGGACACAGGGGCCCCATGATCCCCTATTGCCCGGGGACCCCATGAGTTGTCAGTCCGCCCCTGTGTCTGACACGGCTCTAATGGAATGTCGCAGAATTTCATGCTAAAGCAGTGATAGAGTAACATCTGGCTGTTCTAACCTGCGAGGGAGCAACTTCGCAATCCGATCCCTTACATGACATCCGCCTTTCAGGATCTAACTATAGCTGTATTGGTCAGCATGTATTTTAAAGCGGTCCTTCATCCTCCCTGACCGCCTTCTGCCCTCTCATCCCATCCCCTCCCCCCTTCCTCAAAATCTCAAATATTTTTTTTTCTACCTTTACTTAACCAGTTCAGTACGTTGCTATTATAGCAATCTATGATTAATAAATGTAATCCCCTAGATTGTAAGCTCCCAGGATCAGGGCCCTCCTAACCCTCTTGTATTGAACTGTATTGTTGCTGTATTGTCTCCCGTTATATTGTAAAACGCTGAGCAAACTGTTGGCGCCATAAATCCTGTATAATAGGCTGAATTTTTTTTTTTTTTTTTACTTTTATGCATTCCCTGCGTTAAGTTAAAAAAAAAAAAAAAAAATCCTGAGTGCAGCTCATCCCAGCCCCCCTTATAATTACCTGAGCCTGATCACAATCCGGCAATGTACATGGGAGCAGCATCTCTTTCGGCTCTCTCCCTCCTCAGTGGCTCAGAGACAGCAACGGGAGCTGTCGGCTCCCACTGCTTGTCAGTCACAGCCAATGAGAAAGCAATGGGGGGAGGCTGAGCTGTGCGCTGGGTCTTGATGAACACTCAGAGCGTGGCTCGGGAGCAAGCTTAAATGAGTGCCCCCATAGCAATCAGCTTGCTGTGGGGGCACTCAGCAGAGGGGAGGAGCCAGGAGTGCCAATGGGGGGATCCCAGAAGCGGAATATCAGGGCTGCTCTGTGCAAAACCATTGCACAGAGCAGGTAAGTAAATGTTTATTTTACAAAATGAGTATTTACAATCACATTAATAGTTGTAACATTAATTGTAGCCAAAACTTCCTGGACCTTGAAGAAGGGGACACTCCCCAAAAGCTTGTCCTCAAAATTGTATGTTAGTGCAAAAAAAAAGTATCACGGACAGTACTCAATTGTTTCTGTCGCAAATGCACTAATATGGCTACAATCACCTAGAGACATTTAAAAAATGCTTTACATACTGTACACCAACGCAGAGGAACCCTTGAAATAACATTCTGGTCTCAGGGGAACCCCGGCTAAAAATGACTATATTTACAACTCATGATACATTAGTGTGATGGTCAGAGGTAAGAATGCTCCTTACACCTGTGGTCATTGGGGAGAATTCCCCCCTAACAGAGAGCTAAAAAAGATCAGTGGTGTCAGTTGGAACTTATCTGAGAGGCAGTAATTGGTCTTTGCTCAAGGAACCCCCAGCAATCTCCTGAAGAACCCTAGTTGAGAAACCCTGCTGTACACTGCCATCCGTACCTGTACTTGAGCTTACAATACTCATTGCTCAAGGAACCTCCTGAGGAACCCTATTTGAGAAACTGCTGTACACTGCCATCCGTACTGTACTCAAGAGCTTACAATCTTAGCTCATTGGTCAAGGAACCTCCTGAGGAACCCTAGTTGAGAAACCCTGCTGTACACTGCTATCTGTACTGTACTCGAGCTTACAATCTAAGCTCATTGCTCAAGGAACCTCCTGAGGAACCCTAGTTGAGAAACCCTGCTGTACACTGCCATCCCTACCTGTATTTGAGCTTACAATCTTAGCTCCTTGCTCAAGGAACCTCCTGAGGAACCCTAGTTGAGAAACCCTGCTGTACACTGCCATCCGTACCTGTACTCAAGAGCTTACAATCTAAGCTGGCTGAAACTGAAAATTGTATGGCCAGCTTTAGTAAGGCCAAACCAGAGCCCCAGATGGCAGTAAATACCAAACAGGGGTTTAATCTTTCCCATCCTATCTGAAAACTTATAAAAAAAAATTTTTTAAAAATTTTTTTTTATTTTGTTCATCTTTAATTACTTACCGTACTATGATCTCTTTAGGTTGATGGTCTCAGCCAATTGATGGAATCAGGCAACGCGGTGAATTCTCCAGGGGACACGCTGGGACAGACACCCTCACACTTGGCCGCGTGCGGGGGGCATGCATTCTTTCTGCTTTGGCAGCTGCAGACTGGAGTTGACATCAACCAGCAGGTATATATCCAATGTTATCTCTGCAATATCACATGCTGGATCTTTTCTCATTGTCTGCATTACCAGAAATCTAGAAATGAAGTAAGACCATGTTTGCCTTCATGCTGCGTCAGTGTAACATGATCTGCACTTCTTCTTCCTTCCTCAGGACTTGTTTGGAGAAACACTGGTTCACAAAGCAGCCCGGTCCGGCAGTATGGAATGTCTGAGTCTTCTGGTCGCTCATGATGCAAGATTAGAGTAAGTAGACGCAGACACCCAACAGATTACTGGCATATAAGGAGACTGCGGTAAATAGAAGATGCATTTCTGGCTGGTAATAGATTTCTTTCTCTGTTTGTTATCAGTGTCTGCAATAGAGATGGACACACGGCTGAAGATCTGGCATTGTCAGGTGGATTCCTTGAGTGTGCAAAATATCTCGCCGTGGTTAAACATACGCAGGATACGTTTTCTAGAGCGCGGTCTTCTGTGCAAGACTTGAAAGAGCCTGGGGCTGCTTTGAAGAGAGCTCAGAGCAGTCTGGATATTTCTCACGGGAAGAGACGGCGATCTGATGGTGAGAACTATACACCCTCATGTATGCTATAAAGCAGGGGTCTCAGAACTGTTTAAATAAAGGTCAAGTTCACTTAAGTTAGAACTATAGGCAAAACTTTTTTTTTTTTTTTCCATTTAGGATAGAATAAGGAATGGTTACATCCCGTCAGATTTTTTTAATTTTTTTTCACCATCTGTGTCCCATTTGGGAGATTTCCCTTCACTTCCTGTCCCATAGCCAAAACAAGAAGTGAGAGGGAATCCCTGCAAATTAAGGGAATTGCTTGGGGACCCCCAGGTCACCAGAACTAGTGTCCCCATTGGAAGTTGTCCCCTCTATTATTTTTCTGGGGACAACCCAAAATTTGGGTGTTTTCTTTTACATTCAACGATAATCATAAACAGGACAAACAGAGAATCTAAATCTCCTTAACCGGGGCACAGACAGCAATAAACATTGACAGGCATTCCAACCTCTGCACTCTATCTAAACCTAAAAAAATTGTTTTGCATTTAGTTATACTTGAAGGGGGGCAGGTCTGTGGCCATTGGGAGTAGAAAAGGTCCCAAGGATAGTGGGAATAAACAAGGCCCCAATTTATTTATTTATTTTTTTTTTTAAAAGGAGCCTGGAAAGCATTGCACCAGCAATCAGCAGGACTACTGCAGACCTGTCGGTGTAAGCTGTCTGTCTGTATATCGACTGGGCTGGCAGTTTTACACTGACGGGAAGAATTAATGAACTACCAGAGTGCTCAACTGCGCTCACAAGCCCTAAAAATGGGTGGAACATGTAGCATGTTCCCGTAGGTCAACTTATCCCTTAACTACAGAGCGTCTATTTATTTATTTTCTTTTACGGACCCTTCAAATTTGCAGTGCATGGGCTTTCGTACATTTTTTTTTTTTTTTTTCATCCATTTATATTTAAAGGGCTTTCCATGCTTAAACAGGTCCTGCAGATTTTTACAGCAATGCATTGCATCAGAACACACATGTCTGTAGGTAGGTTGGCAGCTACTGTATGTGTTCTTTAGGGTTCCATTCTCAGGTGACAACACTCATAGTACCAATGTTGTGGTAATGCTACTCCGGTGCATAGGTGTGAAGCCAGCCTTGGTGATTGTTCCCAAGGGTTCCATGATGAACCTTGTGCAGATCTAAATCATTTACAGCTTACACCTGCAGACTATCGGACGTCCTCTGCGCTGTACAGAGCAGGGTACAGTGTGAGTGAGGTTGTCATCTGGTACATTTCAGGATGTTAGCTGGGTTTGGTTGCTGCATTGTTGGGTGATGGAATTTGAAAATAAATACCCTAAAATAAGAGGTTTTGACCGTTCATATTGTCTTCACAGCTTTCATTTAGATATGCTTCGAGCATAAACCAAGAAGAGATCCTTGGCAAGATGTAGAAGAGATCCATGGCGAAATATTAGAAGAAATCCATGGCAAGATGTAGAAGAGATCCATTGCGAAATATTAGAAGATATCCATGGCAAGATGTAGAAAAGATCCATGGGGGAAATATTAGAAGAGATCCATGGCAAGATGTAGAAGAGATCCATGGGGGAAATATTAGGAGATATCCATGGCAAGATGTAGAAAAGATCCATGGGGGAAATATTAGAAGAAATCCATGGCAAGATGTAGAAAAGATCCATGGGGGAAATATTATAAGAATTCCATGACGAAATGTAGAAGAATTCAATGGAAAGGTGAATACTGAGGACTGTAAACTGCTTCTATAGGGAGCTGCTGACTTTCTGGCTTACGTTAGGCTGGACTGTAAATATATGACCTCTCTGCAGGAAGGTAGAGGTGCTTTTTTTTTCATTTTTTTTTTTTTGTTTTTTTTCCATTTTATATATTTGTTTACTTCAAAGTCATTTTGTTTACATACGTTTTTGTACAATAAAGCTTTCATTTTTTGTTACGCAATGGTGTCTATTAATATGACAGTGTACTAAATAATAGAAATCAAGGCAGCAAATTAAATTGTAAAAAAATTTAAAGTAGCCTAAAGTGGTAGTAAAGTCCGGTTTATAACATGTATTTACAGCTAAGTCTATAATAAGGCTTGCCTGTAGGTACAGTGAATATATCCTAAGCATTCACCATTTAGGAGATAATCACATTTGCAGAGGCCGGTGACATCATCGGCACATGCACAGTACAGGAGTATACCGTCCATTGAGAGCGCTGTACTGCGATCGTGAATTCTGCACACATGCTTGCATGGGAGTGATGTCATCACAGCCCAGCCATTCAAACAGCCAGAGCCAAAGAACCCATAAGGAAAACCTGGTGAAGATGGAAGAGCCAACAGTGAACACAGTGGCTTTGTTTGAAAGGTAAATCTGCCATAATGTGCTGGCATGCAGTGTATACGAGCACACTATGACTTAAACCGCCCGGAGGCCCAGTTTTTTTATTTTTTTTATTTATTTATTTTTTTCCTTTTGGGCGTTGTAATAATTGTACCCAATTCCTGGGAATCTATTCCTCTTCCCATCTGGGCACTTGAGCTCCCATATGTCCCCTTTCTTTTTTATTATTATTATTATTATACAGGATTTATATAGCACCAACAGTTTGCTCAGCGCTTCACAATATAACGGGAGACAATACAGTTCAATACAAGAGGGATTTGAGGACCCTGCTCCTTTGGAGCTTACAATCTAGGAGGGAGGGGCTAGTGGTACAAAAGGTAATAACTGTGGGGGATGGACTGGTTGGAAGAGTAGAAGATTCCATTATTAGCTGAGGGCAGGATAGGCTTCCCTGAAGAGAGGTTTTCAGAGATCGCCTAAAAGTGAGCAGAGTAGGCGATAGTCTGATAAATTGGGGTAGAGAGTTCCAGAGGATGGGGGAAGCTCTGGAGATGAGTATGGGAGGAGGTGACAAGGGAGCTAGAGAGTAGAAGGTCTTACGAGGAACGGAGAGTACGGTTTGGGTGATATTTGGAGACAAGATTGGTGATGTAATTTGGGGCAGAGTTATAAATGGCTTTATATGTTATTGTTAATGTTTTGAATTTTATCCGTTGGGCAACGGGAAGCCAGTGGAGGGATTGGCAGAGAGGGGTGGCAGATATGGAACGGTTAGTTAGGTGGATGAGTCTGGCAGCAGCATTCATGATAGACTGAAATGGGGATAGCCTGCGATGAGGTTGGTCAATGAGGAGGGAGTTACAATAGTCAAGGCGAGATATAACAAGGGAGTGAGTAAGTTGCTTAGTGGTTTCTGAGGTTAGGAACGGGCGTATCTTGGAGATGTTGCGGAGGTGAAGTCTACAAGATTTTCCATTCTTTTTACCCTTGTGTTTTTTTTTTTTTTTTTAAATCTACTTTTTTGTGTTATTTCAATATTTCACTACACCAAAGTATAAAATGTATATATGAATTCTGCTTCTCTGAACACACACAACCCCCCCCCCCCAAAAAAAAACTGGGATATACCCATTGCTTACTTTATCCATGTCTAATGACTTCAAAAAGACTCTGTCCCCCATTTATGTTTTTTTTCTCCCTTTCTTTTACATAGAAACATAGGGTGATGGCAGAAAAAAAAGATCAAGTGGCCATTCAAGTCTGTTTCATCCGTTCTTTTGTTTTTTAGGTGAAAATGTAACTGCTTAAACTGGAGAGAGTTATAACTGGTGCACTGGAGAGTTATAACCCCCCCCCCCCCCCCACATTTTTTTGGGTTTTTTTTGGGGGGTGGGGGGGGGGGTGGTTGTTGGCCATCTGTGTCCCATAGGGGAGATTTCCCTTCACTTTCTGTCCCATAGCTAAAACTGGACGAGAGAAAAAAAATTCTCCAAAGTGAGGGAATCCTGGGGTGTCAACAGGGTCATTAGAACTAGTGTCCCCATTGCAAGATTTCATCCCTTATTGTTCTGGTGTCAAGCCAGAATCTGGGATTTTCATTTACTTTCACTGTAAACTGGCCAAATATAGGAGATGAAACCTAACGGTGACACAGACAGTAAAAAGCTGACGGGTTCTAATCCCTCTTCACTCTATGCAAAACTAGAAAAATGTTTTGCCTTTACTTATGCTTTAACTTTTTTTGTTTTAAGTATAGATCCATGCTTGTCCTATGAATGTTTGCATCCACTTACTATTGACTGACTCACTACCTCTGCTGGAAGTCTATTTCAAGCATCAACTTCTCTTTTGGTAAAATAATACTTTCTAAGATTCGTTTTGAACCGCCACCTGATAGTATGAGGTCATGTCCCTGTGTTCTTGAGCTTGGCTTCATACTGAAATTACTGCCCTCTTGAATCTTATTCACTCCTTTGAAGTATTTAAAGGTTTCAGTCATGTCTCCCTTCTTTCCTCCAAAAAGAACATATTAGGTTCCTGAAGTCTCTCCTGATGTGTTTTATCCCTCAGACCTTTCACCATTTTTGTTGCCCAATTTATATCTTTGTGTAAGTGAGATCCCCAGAACTGGACACCGTTATTCTAAATGAGTTCTAACTAAAGATCTATATAGAGGAATCAGGACCTCCTTCCTCCTGCTGGTGACCCCTCTAGTGATAACTAAAGATCTATATAGGAATCGGGACCTCCTTCCTCCTGCTGGTGATCCCTCTAGTGATATAAAGATCTATATAGTGGAATCAGGACCTCCTTCCTCCTGCTGGTGACCCCTCTAGTGATAACTAAAGATCTATATAGAGGAATCAGGACCTCCTTCCTCCTCCTGGTGATCCCTCTAGTGATATAAAGATCTATATAGGAGAATCAGGACCTCCTTCCTCCTGCTGGTGACCCCTCTAGTGATATAAAGATCTATATAGTGGAATCAGGACCTCCTTCCTCCTCCTGGTGACCCCTCTAGTGATAACTAAAGATCTATATAGAGGAATCAGGACCTCCTTCCTCTTGCTGGGGATCTTTCTAGTGATGACTAAAGATCTATATGGGGCAAGCCTTTTTTTTTTTTTTTAATATTTTGTCTTTGACGCCTGCTTGCGTGCTATTGCCTCAGATGTGTTCACACAGCACACTGTATTGATTGTTCAATTACTGGCTATT